CCCAATGATTCAACAGTCCCGCCTTTGGATCTTAGTGTAACATCTCCTTCAAACGACGAGGCTGCAACGCCAACAGTAGGCGCTGACGATGGCTATTTCGCCATACCCATAGGCAGTGGAACCTCGAGCGTCTTCCCGACGTCTGCAGGCTTGTCAGCGCTGGCCACACCGATGTTCGAAGGAACTGCCGAGCTGATGAAGACGGAGGCGGACATAGCGCTGGAAAGTCGATATACACTTATCAAGTTGCAACACGAGGAAGAGCGGCGTATCTGGGAGTGGTACCTTCGCAAGAACAGTGACGACTTCGTGGTGGAAAAGTACCAATGTATCAGTTTGTGGGAATATACCATTCCCATCGCGGAGTTTGGCCTACATCGCGCGTGCTTCCCACCTCAATTGAACTACATTACCTTCTATGGCGAGAACGACTGTACACTGGGGCAGTTCATCGAAAAGTCAATATCCGACACGCTCACCGAATTCCTTAACCCCAAGGCCATATGCACTGGCAAAGGTTGCGATCAGCCCCTTGCTCGCCATTGCAAGGTCTATGTCCATCAAGAAACTCGACTCTTCGTTGCTGTTGAACAATGGGATGGTCAAATCATTGGGCGGGCAAACTATCCTCCCTCTCCGGATCTCATAACTACATGGAGCGTGTGTCGGAAGTGTGGATCGGCAACGCCCTTCATTCCTGTATCTGAAGAGATGCAGAGGTACTCCTTCGCCAAGTTCCTCGAGCTCCACTTCTATCCGGCAGACGTTAAACTCGTGCTCGGCGCTGGGTGTGAGCACAATATATATCAGCATCATATTCGGTATTTCGCCTCCAAAGGGATGACCTTGCGCTTCCAGACCGACCCTGTTGTTCTTCACGAAATTGTATATCCTCCTGTGCGCATTCGTGTACGTCCGGAGACCCAACTTGAACTCAAGAACAAGGACTTCGACCGACTTCATCGCCGGAATATTCTCTGGTACTCTGCTTTGATCGATGACCTGAGGTTGATTAGCATTGATGCCGCTACGGGAGACGAAGAAATGGATGAGAAGCTACTCGCTGAAGTCAACGTATTGATCACAAGAGCGGAAGAGGAGAGGGAAGAAATCAGTCAACTTATCAACCACCTTTACAGGGACTCTCCTCCTACGGATACGCTGGCCTTAAACCCGGTCTACTCCTTCCGACAAGACAAGATCGTCGCATGGCAGCAAGACTTCGACAAATTACCCAAGCCCCGTCCTGTCCAAGAGAAGGTCATTAGCGAGAAAACTTACAAGAAGACGTCTGCTTTTGGTACCGTGCGCGCAGCTATGTGGCCCAAGAAGCCTGGCCTACCCTTGAGCTTTGAAAATCCTCACGTACCATCATCAAGCGTTTCTGAGGCCGAGGAAGTATCTCCGACTTCAAGGAGAGGCAAGAACAAAGTCAATACTTTCACCTCGTCCGCTTCAGAGACCTCGGAGGTTGAGCCAGACACGACTAGTGCAGAAAGTTCTACCAAAATCGATCCCAAGGAAGGAGAACCAATCATACTGAAGCCTCCCGTCATCACTGAATCGCCTATCGAAGCTAAGCATCAGGCAACTGATCCTGAAAGTGACTCTACTATCGGCGCTGCACAAGAAGATGCTGCACACGAAAATACAGCCTTGTCCGAAGAGCCACATTTGGATTCAGTGGGTACTTGTATACATCCAAACCTCCTAAACTAACTATTGTTAGGTGCAGGCACAAACAGCCGCAGGAACCGACCCACTTCTACCAGCGTCAAAATTACCGCGGCGACCTTTGAACCAAAACAACGTTGCTGAATTGGTCAGAAAGTATTCCGACTATTTGCCAGCTCAGGGCGTCCAAGAACTGGCGAAAACGGCCTTTCCTCCACGGGTGATCGTGTCCGAAAGCGAGCAGGAGTATCCTTCAGTTCCACCAATACGCAATACGAGGTCGAAAAACCGTCGTCCCCCAGCTAAGAAGCCATCTATCTCGGACTTCGAGCAAGGTTATACGGCCAATGTAGCACCGTTATACTTAACCCACTCCAGGCGTTCCCTCGGCACAATCCCTCACAACAGCCGCATTCCTGGCCCAATCGTCTCAGCTTTCGAATCTGTCCGCTCCAGAGACTCGTCGCGTCGTGCTTCTCCCGAAAAGCGCTCTGTCAGTGGTAAAGCGAAGGAGGTACGCTTCAACCAGCCAGGGTCACCGCCACATGGGCGAGCTCCTTCCGGAAAGTTAGGCAAGAGTAGGTTGGCAACTCGGACTAATCCCGCTGATAAACCTCAGTTACGGTCTGCCTCAACCTCGACGCCTAAATCTGCTCTAAGACGGCCTGTAGGGACTCCAGGAGGTAAAGTGTCGAACATCGCTCGGCATTTTGAACGTATTAGCCGTGATAATGAGCGTTCCAAAACGCGCTATGCCGTCATTCGTGGAAAGAAAGCTCGACCTGTTGCGTCCGCTCGTGCCAAAGTAGAGATACTGGAAAGTATCAAAGATGCCGTGCAAGATGACGAAAGCGAGGGTTCAAATTCTTCTAGTGAAGCTGATGACGAAGGGGAGGGCGAAGAAGATCGTAACGAGCACGGAAAGCCCTCTTTGCCAACCGTGGTCCAGTCGACCCCCGACTCTGAGCCTCAGATTGAAGAAAGTGCAAAGACCGCCCCGGCTGATACATTCCCAGACCCACCGCCCGATCCCGCTTCTGAGAATACGGCAGAACTCAAGCCCCCTCGTCCTCTGACCACCATATCATTGCCCCCGTCTCCATTCCTGACCGCCACAAAGAATAGAAGTGTCTCTACTCCGCCCCCAGCAGACTTCGACATCGGAGGGACGGCCGGAAACTCTATCTTGAAGGCTATTTCATATTTCTTGCCTCCTCAGCCGGTATCCCGATGGGCGCTGGAGAACGAGCTGGTGAATGACCCAGAACATATCTTCCGTGACACATCTATGGTAGTACGCACCGATGAGCCAACATCTATCATAGCCTTGGCTCTGAGGTAAGTGCCTACCGAAACATGGTCTCTATACTTGATCCTCATCTCTCATAGCTCTCCACAGTACAGAGAAATGTTAACCAAGTCACGGGCGGAAAAGCGGACCGCTCAACAAGCGCGGGTGACTGAAGGCGGAGAAGTGTTCATGCCCGACGACCGTTCTGTAGCCGAATCCACTTCAACTTGGGGTGTGGTGAACGTGGACGTTCCTGATTCGGCTGATCCCACAGAAGATCTGAAGGTTCCTTCTTCAAAACTCCCATGGGCTATCAGTATGTGCGGATTCCTTCTAATAGAATGTCCAACATCTGACAGCATGAATCTTCTCAGCGTTTGAAAGTGGTGGGTTGACCATCAGCTGTACTGTGCTTTATCCAGAACAATTCGATGCCTTGCGCCGTACATATGACTGCGAACGCAGCATGGTGGAATCTCTCGCACGGTGTGTCAAATGGAACGCCAACGGTGGAAAGTCCGGGTCAGCATTTCTAAAAACGAGAGGTGTGTAGCTTGTAATCCGCGGTGGCGGCGGGTGAGATTGACACCGTGAAACCAGACGATCGTTTCATCGCGAAGGAAATTTCCCGACCTGAACTGCAAACTATGGAGACATTTGCGCCTGCATATTTTGATTACATGTCCTCTGCCGTTTCTGCTAATGTGTGTCCCGTCATTGTCGCTTCTACTCTACCGAAAGAGGCTGACCGACATTACATTTCCGTTGTAGCGCCCTACCCTTCTCGCCAAAGTCTTTGGATGTTACAAGTTGACGTTCCGTAAGACTTCTGGCAAAGATAACGGTCCAGAACGATCAAAGTCTACGCAAATGAACTTACTCGTCATGGAGAACCTGTTCTATGACAGGCGATTCGCTAAGGTATCCGCTACGCTCTCGTCATCTATTTTGATTTCGCCTCATGTTTTCCCAATCAGATCTATGACCTGAAAGGTTCAACTCGCAATCGCCATGTCCAATCCACCGGCAAGGAGAATGAAGTACTCCTGGATGAAAATTTAGTAGAAAGTGCGTGCTATCTCTGCCTTCCATAGCATCATAATTCATCGTCTAATTTTGGGCCCCTAGCTGCCCACCTTGCCCCTTTCTATCTGCGCGAACACTCCAAGCGTATCCTGCGCGGAGCCCTCTACAATGATACCAAGTTCTTGGCCGATACCAACGTTATGGATTATTCCCTGGTCGTCGGGGTTGACGGGGAAGGTAACGAACTGGTCGTTGGCATCGTCGGTCCGCATCCCCCGCTTCTCCCTCTGTCTTCGCTAGGCAGAACTAACTTTTTGAACGGTCATTTAGATTATATCCGTACATATACCTGGGACAAGAAACTCGAAAGTTGGGTGAAAGAGTCGGCGTTCCTTGGAGGCGCCGGCAAAGGAGAACCTACGATCGTCACTCCGAAGCAGTACCGCCAACGCTTCATTACCGCCATGGAGAGGTACTTCCCTTTGGTGCGTGCTTCATATTTCTGTCTGAGCCACGCTGACTGATAGATTGATGCGATTTATAGATTCCTGACCGTTGGATGAAGCAGAAAGACACTCCAGAAGAAGACCCAAATTGCTTAGCTGAACTCTGGCCTGACTGGTAGATATACCGACGAAGTTGTGAACACTGATCTTCGCCATACCTTTTCTCTTTACTGCTTACGGATTTTGACGTCTGGCCCGAGCGGCCACTTGCATTTCTCTCGGAACATTGTGCCACATCCATTGCATGTCCTCGCCATCTTGTTGTGTCGGATATATACCGTGCATCTTGTAAATTAGACAGCTGTTACTTCTGAGTTCATGGATTCATGGATTCACCATTGACAAGGTGCACAGCACTCTTGTACATACTTCTTGGGTGTAAGCTGTGATTGATTGGAATGCAAGTGTACGGCGTCCGATTCTGACACGACGAACGCTGTGTTGGCGCCATTTACCGTGTCTTTGAGTACTCGAGTGATCATCCCAGCAAAAGCAAAAAGATGTGACGAGAGTGGGATTCGAACCCACGCCCCGAAAGACCAGATTGAATGCTCATCAGATGAGCTGATCCTTAGTCTGGCGCCTTAGACCGCTCGGCCATCTCGCCAGATGACCTCCCTTCCTTGGAGACCCTCATGAGAAATCAACCAATCACTAGCCTTTATATACGCAAAACCAGATGTGAGACGGCAAGGTGCAAGATACAGAAGGTAGTATACAGAAAGCAAATATAGAATAAACAATGCGTGCATATGTACACATATACAAGTTACCAGCTTCAGACGAGTGGCTCCCCAACCATGAAATGGACATGATCGCCTTCGCTCAGCGTGAGTCTGACTGGGAGGCGTGGGTCGATGCGTACGGGCGCACTAGTTCCGACGTAGAAATCACCACGGCTAAAATTCCTAGTAATGGCAGCGGCCTCTTCTTCGGTCAGATTGCGCTGTCGTTTCGCTGGTCTGAATGTCGACGACGAGGCCCCAGTGAAGGCTCCGTTGTAATCATAATAATGCTGCTGAGACATGTTCGCTGCAGCATGTTGAACGGGGAATATTTGCTGTGGTGTGGCGGCAAATGTTGCTTGCACCGGGGGTGCTTCGATTTCCATAGAAGAAATCATCAGATGGTTTGTCTCTGCGTGCAAAGCATGGAGAGTGCTACCTGGCGTGTGATGAGCCTGATTATTGTGATCAGATGGATCGCCCGAAGGGTCAGGATAAGCGCATGATGCACCCAAGCCCCGCTTCAAGCAACTCTATGTAATTTTGCAAAGCTGTTGGTCTGCGTTGCCATAAAAATATGGGTGCGACGTGCCACCGACCTGACAAGGCAGGACTTCGCTGCATCTGGTCTTTCCGGTGTGGCAAGCGACACATGCTCGGCGGACTGATGGAGCCTTGGCTAGGATGTAAAGTTTGTGGTCAGTCAGTAAAAAAAATAGAGAACTATCACGATCTCACTCACGTTTACGACCGGGATCATTTGGGGTGGCCGGCGTCGTTACCTGCATTTGCTGAATTGCATCTGTGTTGTGGTGCAGCTGCTGGAGCTGGGTGTCGATGGACGGCGGGGCGGTGTCTTGGGCCGGATCCTCTGTTGTGAGCGCCGACATGGCAAGGAGCAGATACGGACAGGCGGACAAGGGCCCGTGTAATCCTTTGTTTGGTTCGGCCGACCATGCAAACATTGCACCGGATCTAGGGTTAGCCGGACTGCCGGGTGTCGCGCAGATAGCCCCTGTTTTACCATCCACGCGACGATCCAAAGGGTTGTCCTCCTCCTCAAGGTACTTCAACTCTCGAGTTTCAAGTTGGCACCGTTCATTATTTTTCAAGCCCCTCACATACTTGAACTATCATGTCCGACTCAAATTCTCCTCTTCAACCACCAGCACCCTTTCCTGATTTCGAATTCACGTTCGATCCAGCAATGTCCAACGTTTTCCCAAATCCCCCACCGTTGCCCTCGTCTGCAGATTTGTTCTCCCCCTCAGAAACGACAGACCTTCTAGGCTTCCTCGATGGCTTCAATTGGGACATCGAGAACGACGACGCCTCTTCAGCGTACCCAAATCATCGCCTACCCAATCCCCCAGCACCATACACGAACCCACATCTCCACACCTCGCCAAATCCCTCAGCTGCTGGCGTCAGAATATCATCACGCTCGGCCTCGTCTAATTTGAGCCGCTTGGGACCTATCGATGATCAACACAAACTTGGGGCGGCTCAGAGTGCCGTGTCGGATACATCATCCAATTCATCCAATACCGCAGGCCCCAGCCACCAGAGATCTACCTCTGCATCATCGGCAGCAGCGCGCGCGAAGCCGTTACTTTCGACCCCGCAGAAGCGATTAAACCACATCATGTCGGAACAAAAACGGCGCAACGCTATCCGTGACGGCTACGCGCAGCTCATCGCCCTCCTTTCACCCGCTGGATCGGCACACGGCATTGGTATGCCCACGAGAGGCCGTCCAAAAGGCAGTGGCAGCCGCGGGAAAGGTCGCAGCAAAGGGAAGAGTGGCGTCCTCTTCCGCGCCGTTGAATACTGCCGATTCCTCGAGGAGGGGCGAGACGCGCTACGAGAAGAGGTCCGGCGTGTCGAGGCTGCTGCTGGCATCAACCAACAATGAATAGCATCTATTTCCAGTGCACAAGATGAATCACTGGTTAGTGTTGACAGCTATCACCTTCCCATTCTCCTCACTGATCTTCTCACAACATAGCTTTGTATTACTGCTTCTTTCCCCTGTCATCGCATCAAAGGAAATCGCTTTTTTACGACCGAGCAAGCAAAAGTTTTACTCCATCATACCATAATGCCCATACTCTACTGTAGCCGTTATAATTTTACACCGTCATCTTCCTAATCGGGAGCATCGATCGTTTATTACCTCGCATCGTTGAGATTGATTGGCAATACAATCCATTGGTCGATCTAACTCCAGTGACAATATCAATCCATCAACTGGGGGGTCGTGGCATTTGGCATCGCCACGTTTCATATCACAGTCATGCCACCGACACCACCACCACCAGACTGGCCAATCCCAACCTTCACCCTTCGAGTAGAGGACGTAGCACACCCGGGGGCAATAATATTCTTCCAATGCATCCAACCAGCCGTCGACCTCCGTGGCGCAGTCCTCAACAGCTTCAAGTGGTTGTACACCCCAGAGAATGTCCCAACCAAGTCAGTCACCCGTGCTGAATTGAAACCCATCAGTTCAGCAAATATGTGGCACGAACATCTGAATAACTGACATCCAAATCAGCGTGAAATCCATTCTGCTGGTGCTACGCTCCATGCCTGGCGTGGCGCATACGTTTGGCAGTTCCACGCACAAGGAGATACATTTCTCCCTTGAGCATATCAACAACTGTGCTTCTCGTGCCAGGGAGGAGATACTAGGGGTGCTCACACACGAAGTGGTACACTGTTACCAGTACAACGCGAAGGGTCAGTGCCCTGGAGGCCTGATCGAGGGCGTAGCAGGTAGGGCAATCAATCTCATCATGTCAGTTGGTTGCAGAATGGGTGACTTACGACGTATCTCCTTATGCAAGACTGGGTCCGTCTGCAAGCAGGTCTGGGGCCTCCACAATGGAAGAGATCACCAGGTGATAAATGGGACGCTGGGTACGAAGCAACGGCTTACTTCCTCGACTGGATCGAGGGTCGCTATGGTCATGGCACCGTCCAAGAGCTCAACGAAAGCATGAAAGACGTGGAATACGACGAGAGAATCTTCAAAGTCGCGACCGGCCGCAGGGTTGCCAAACTCTGGAGGCTGTACTGTGCAGACTCTGAACAGTAATTAATTAATTGTGTACACCCGAGGACAGTATCTACGAGAAATTAAACAGAAAGGGGTGCGGCGATAAGATACAAATACAGAGTAACGACTATTGCAACCAGTGGATGAATGAAAAATGGAGCTACAAAACAGGACGACCAGATAGTTAGCAGATAAAGAAGAATACGATGAATGCGAAAGTGTCATCCTAGTTCTTCGTCTAGTTCTCGCGCGAGGAAGTCATCGTCGAAGCCTAAATCAAGTCCGTCCTCCTCGTCGCTATCTTCATCATCTTCGCCGTCACCGTTCTCCATTCCTTGGGGCGTCGCGGGATCAAGAGTGGCCCCGCCATCGTCGCTATTGTTCAGATCACCGACTGTTATTGCCTCCTTGAGCTTGGAGAACTTCGATCTCTCAGCAGCAAGCTTCTTGCGCTTCGCCAGAGGTGATCGGAGTAGCGTGTCCTTGTCCAACCCGTCAAAACCACCATCAGACGGCGTCACACTTCGCAAGCGCTTGCGTCGCATCTTTGGAGTTCCATTGACACTGCTATGAGGGCATCAGCACCGAATAGGCAAAAATGCAAAAAGCTTCTTCCGACCTGATAGCACTACCTGTCTCATCATCGGAAGCGGCCTCACTCCGTAATCCGCTTCGATCACTCCTGGCATCATCGTCATCATCGCTCTCGTTCATTGCCGCGTCGACTTCGTCATTAACCTCGTCCCAATTGATGGTATCAAGTTCCAGCGACGGTCCACCGGTCTCTGAGGGTGGGTCTTTATCCCAGTCGTCCCCGTCAGGATCGTGGTCTGATGAAATGTCAATTGAGTCCATAGCGGGACTAGAACTCGGTCCAGTCACCGGAGGCTCGTCCAAAAGGTATAGCGTCTCGTCTTGATGCCGCCACAAGGCTACGGAATCTGTAAACCAAGAGACCCACACGATTTTCATTCCTCCACGCCGCCGGGCCATGTCTACCTTCACCGTTCCGCGCTAAGATGAAGGAAGGTCAAAAGCTGTGTGGGCACCCGAAGCACATAACTAACTTTAGCCGCTACAACATGCGTAACTTCGCTCGTTAATTCTGTTGAAACTTTGGCGCCGAACATATGCGCTAGTCGCCATATTTCCGTCGTTTCTGGTTTAGTATCTAGAGGTATCACACTTGAAAATAGGATATGGACGCCTTTAAATACATCGGCGCGTATCCGGGGTATGATTCGCTTGAACGGGGTTAGCACAGCTACTTCGAAGGATATGGATAAGCACTAACTGTTACATCGTATGGCACATTTATTGATTCTCGTCTCCTGCCACGTCGTGTCTTATCGTCCTGGGGTCGTGATTCATATGCCGAATAAAATTGTTTATGCACTTCGTCTAGGAGCTACAGTCGGTATGTTAGCGCTGAACAGGTGCATGGAAGTATGATGCAATACCTTAGTAAGCCGCTCCAGCTCAAAGTCATCATTCTTCAATAGCGCCTTACGGACATGCTTCTCTGTTGGAGGGGGTGTATCGACGACGGTGTCGCTACTGGACGACGCAACTGGGGACGGTGTCTCGGCTTTCGTCGCTTGACCATCCTCAGAAGCGACCAATGCCTCTTGTTTCTTAGCTAGTGGCCGCTCCTCCATCTGAGCTTCTAGAGCAAGGGAGTTTTGGGTAAGCATCTGGTTGGTTTCGCGTTCTGCGCGTTCCGCGTCTTCTGGGGTTGGGATGGGGGTCTCGGAAGGTAAGGCATGTTCGGCAGCGGCGGCATTAGAGGGTGTAGAAGCAGGCGCAGCTGGAGACACGAGT